CACTCACTCATTTTGGTTTTTTTTATCAAGGAAAATATTCCACGCAGAGCAAAAATATAAACTGGAATGATTACATCACTAGTTTATACCCAATATCAATAATTGTTGACATTTCTTAATATTACAGCACATCCTAACATTTTATTAACCTATTAACCTGCTCACATGTTTGTGAAGCTCTGAGAAGTGACAGCTGAAGAGTAACCCACATTCTTCCACAGGTTGCATTTCTCTGCCTATGTGCATATATTTTCCATGCAAACACACATACATGCTCTTGATTTGGTTCCTTAGCTACAGACTACAAAATGGTTTCCTGAATCCATATACTATTATATCTATTGCGTACTAATCCCATGTCTAACAAACATACAGCAACAGCACTGATTCTAGATTCACTGAACACTACTAAACCATCCCCACAAACACAGTGATATTCACAGTAATGCTGGCAATTACAAGCTAGGGCAAAAACATTCAGTAAGCAAATAGCACTTTCCTTCAATTAAGCTTTCAATCCTTTTGGTAGTTTTGAAGGCAACTATTGAATTCACTCAAGAACCCTTAAGTTACACTGCTGGAGTGTGCTCACAAACTTGCTTGAGAACACCTTCTGTGAGTTCTCTTCCCATATTTTATTTAAAAAATATTATTGGGTATGTAGCTTTACCATTTTTACAACATATGTTCCAACTATGTTGTCTATTTCCAATCAAGAGGAAGATCCTGCAGCCAGTACTCATCCAAATGGTGCACATGCAGCTGCTTCTGGTGTAATTACTATTCACATCAGTAAAAGTCACGAGACCTGCCCTCAATAAGCTCAGTGATATTTCCATCTTTCATAGCAACAAAGATGCTGTCAGCTCTCAATAAATAAAAAGGAAATTTCATGATGTGTGTTGTTGTGGGATGCAGGGGCTGTAGCAAAGGATTACTTGGTTTGTGCACAGTTTTAAGAGAATGAATTGTACTTCTGGTGCTACCTACTTACTTCACTGCTATTCAGTGCATTTATTAAAGGTTCACAAATAAAGCTTATTGTGGTCTGCCCCCTTAGTACATTCAATTAGATGCTAAAGCTAGGTTGAAATAGTAGAAAAAATGGTTTTGTATGGTAGCTGTGGTTCTTTGAAATCCGATGCAGACATTAACTCCACTCTAGGCGGAGGGGGAGAGGCAGCACACCCAAGTTGGAGAATTGTGCCTAGATGTACGCGGTTAGGGTTGCCAGATGGTCTCCCAAAAAATACCGGACACGCGGTATTTTTTGGTCGAGCAAGAAAAAAAAAGAATGCGGGATAATAAGCCCCCCTGTTCTGGGGTGCCCAGAGCAGCGATCGCAACCCCGCCTCCCAGCTGGGACGCACAGACTAGCAGGGTATGTCTACACTACAGCGCTAATTCGAACTAATTTAGTTCGAATTAGTTAATTCAAACTAAGCTAATTCGAACTAACGGACCCAGACTAAAAAACCAGTTTGAATTAGCGTTTTGCTAATTCGAACTAGCATGTCCACATTAAGTGGACCCTGAAAACCGGGGTTAAGGATGGCCGGAAGCAGTGCCGGCAGGGCATCAGATGAGGACTTAGAGCATGGAGCTGATGCCTCAGGCTAGCCGAGGGCTGTGCTTAAAGGGTCCCAACCCCCACCCCGGACAGACAGTTCTCAGGGGTGCCCTGCTTGCAAAGCAGTCCTGGCTTGGA